TTATATTAAGAAAAAATTATGAACGAAGTTGTCATTCGTTGCCAGACCTATGGGCGGAGCCTAATTGCAAAATCCATAATTCCTTACGAAAATTTTCCATTTTAAATGTGTTTTAAGATTCTAAGAATAAAAAAATCATCACAATTGAGACGGGGTGGGTGGGCGGGGTTTATATTTTGCCTTTTTTTCTTAATATACGTGGTATTCTTTGAACAATACAGTACTCAAAAACATGTTTTTAATTTCTTGTAAAGAAATAACTATTTTGCAGTTAAGCTCCGCCCCATTAGCGCACGGCGAAAAAAAAAATCATCATATTTGAGACAGGGCGGGTGGGCGGGATTTACATTTTGTCTTTTGTTTTAATATGTGTAGACTTCTTTTCAGAACATGAAACTTAAAACATGTTTAAAATAGAAAATTTTTATAAGGAAATATTGATTTTGCAATTAGGCTCCGCCTCATAAGTGAGTGAGTGAGTGAATGAGTGAGTGAGTGAGTAAGTGAGTGAGTGAGTAATTAAGTAATTAAGTGATTAAGTGATCACTAATCACTAATCACTAATCGCGAATCACTAATCACTAATCACTAATCACGAATCAAGAATGATGAATCACGAATCATGAATCACTAATCACTACTCACTAATCACCACCAACGATTCACGAATCACGAATCACGAACCACGAACCACGAATCACGAATCACGAATCACGCATCACGCATCACTAATCACTAATCATTAATCCCTAATCCCTAATCACTAATCACTAATCACAAATCACAAATCACCAATCACCATTCACCATTCACCAAACACGAATCACGAATCGCTAATCACGAATCGCTAATCACGAATCGCTAATCACGAATCGCTAATCACGAATCGCTAATCACTAATCACTAATCACGAATCACTAATCACTAATCACGAATCACGAATCAAGAATCACGAATCACGAATCACTGATCACTGATCACTGATCACTAATCACTAATCGCTAATCACTAATCACTAATCACGAATCACGAATCACGAATCACTGATCACTAATCACGAATCAAGAATCACTAATCACTAATAACTAATCACTAATCACGAATCAAGGATCACTAATCACTAATCATTATCACTAATCACGAATCACGAATCACGAATCACTAATCACGACTCACTAATCACTAATCACGACTCACTAATCACTAATCACTAATCACGAATAACGATCACGAATCACTAATCACTAATCACGAATCACTAATCACGAATCACGAATCACTAATCACGAATCACGAAATCAGTGATCAGTGATCAGTGATTAGTGATCAGTGATGGTTTGCAATCTTGGGGTTTTTTCTTTCTGATTTTGCTTTCGAATTTTTAAGTTTTGCAGTTTTATTTTTCAATGTTCCTATTTTTTCCGATTTTTGAAGTATTTTTTAATTTTTCGTGGTTTGGAACTTTGGAATTTTTCAACTTTTAGTTCTTCGATTTTTAATTTTTCAGTTTCTGGATTAAAAGTTTTAGATTTTTAAATAACAACCATTTATTTACGGAAGTGTTCATTACATAAATCAAACTAAACAAAATAAATTAATTTTTATGTTTAGTATTCCGATTTTTAGTACTTTGATTTTTAAGTTTTGAGGTTTCAATTTTTCGTTTCTTCAATCTTACAATTTTTTTTAGAAATGTGTTAGATTGTTAAATTTTTTACTTTTTTAATCTTGCAGTTTTAAAATTTTTAAGTTTTTCATTTTTGATTATTAATTTTCTCGGTGTCTCAACTTTTCAATTTTCGATTATTTACTTTTTCAGTTCCTCAAATTTTCGATTTTCCATTCTTCAATTTTTTAGACATTTTAATGTTTCCTTCAATTTTGCGTTTTTTCCTCTCTCTATTTTTTTTACAATTTTTCAATTTTTCCATTTTCTATTTCCCAAAGTCTTAAAATTTTTGGATGTTTCATTGTTATAATTTTTCGGTTTTAGTTCGTTTTTTTCCGATTTTTGAACAATTTTTTAATTTTTAGTTATTTTATTTTTTCTGGTTTGCAACCTTGCGGTTTTTCCTTTCCGAATTTAAATATGTTGTCAATCTAAGAAAAAAAAGCATAGACAAAAGCACTGAATTTTGGGCTAAGTAGAGAAATCTAATTTACGAAACCTAGCAAATCCATTTGGAAACATCATAAAGTTTATAATATCACTTCTAGTTCTGTTATTCTCAACAATGCTGGAAAATTGACCATTGTTGTCTGTCACGCTTGTGTAGTTATAATTATTATTGTAAAATATAAACAATAATCTTTAATGAAATAAAAAATAGTTATTTTTTAACATCGATATACAGAGTGTCCCAACGATTTTGTGTGCCTTATATACGCATTTAGACTAAATTATTATAAACATATTATAAGTAAGTAGTTTTACAGTTATTATCAACTGTACGAGATGTTTCATTGACAGATCACACACCAAAGATATATATATTTTTGTAGAACGCTATATATTTTTAGAGATTTCGATTCTTTTATTAATAATTTTGAAGTTTGCATTTTTGTAGCTTCGCCATTTTTGAAGTAACAGATATGGCATTTTACACAAAACTTTTTTATGAAAAAATCTCGGGAGCTTTTTATGTCAAATGTGAAATAATTTATAAACGCGGGGGTGTTTTATTGTTGAAAGAGTGTGAAATAATTTAAGATCCCCTGGTATTATATCTTTTAAAAAATTGGTGAAAGAATCTTTCGGAATCTTAGTTTAATTTTTTAAACGAATTTGAAAAAATCTTAAGGACACCATCTGTCTTTTTTTAAAGAATGTGAAAGAATCTAGGGGAGTAGGTGTTTTATTTTTTAAAGAATTTAAAATAATCTTGGTGGAAATTAGTGAATTAGTGAAGATTATAACACGTATGTATCAATTTACATTTTTTCGGCTTATGTTGGCATCAATTAAAAAAAAGTACACGCGTTTAAAATCCAAGGTTTCTCGCCGTGTTCGATAAAACTTTCAACACCATTACACAAATACGACTCTTCCATGTCTGACTTTTGCCTCTGCTAAGCTTCACGCTTTCAGCCAACGTTAAAAAATCTTCTCCAGATGGTCAAATGTCAGTATTTCTAAATATTTAAAATTACAAACGTGCGCTGCGATGTATCACTCCTGTCACACTCCTTTTCCTAGTTTTAACAAACAAATTGTGTATTTTTCCACGCTATCGGCAGACTGCCCCGAACCCACAACGCTCCAAGGAAATAACATTTAGTTTTTTTGTTAATCCGAATCGCTTTTAATTAATGTGTCAAGTTTACCCGTAATTGATAAACCGTTAATTTTATGCAGAACATTCCCAGCTTTAATTGAATGCATTCAAATAAAAATGACGAAATAGTTTTGTGGTTTACCTTCTTGTGCATTTGTACCGCGATTGTTAAAATTTCGTTCGTTTCACGTAAATCCATCTCTTCGGTTTTTTTGAGGGTCAATTAATTTACCAGTTCATTTGAACGGACCTTGGCTAGCACACTACAAATTAACAGAATTTAATTACTTAAAGAAACTAATTGTCTTTGCAGCAGCCGTCAGAAATTCCAGATTTCTGTTCCAAAAAACTAATAAGAAAACCGCTTGAGCGTTAGTCGGTCGCCGGGCTGAGAAAAAATCTTTTTAGAAATTGCGATTAGTCACATCGACACCCCGGGTCGCTATTAAAAACCTTGACGGAACAAAAATGAGCTCGCTTCCTGCAGAAGAAACCAATCAGCGGTTAGTAGAAATTATCGTTCCGAAATTTTTTCCCCAGACGGAAATTAATCCAGCAATAACGCCACATTTTTTCGGCGCGGATTCTATTAATTGCTTTCATAAACCGGCGACCGTCAAAATTTGAAAAATTGTGGAGAGGTCGTTCATCGGTGATGCGTAAGATTTTATCGATCGCTGGTTTTATGACATTGCCTTGCAATCGTGAAAGTGAATCAACCTTAAATATTTGATTGGAGCTGTCATAAACTGCAAAAACGTGAAAATCCAAATTTTTATTAAAAATCGGGCTTTCTCAATAACGATTATTAATTTATTATTTATGCGACGTGAAGGAAATCTTTTCGATGCCACAAAAACTGACTCTTGTAACGATTTTTAAATTTAGTTCAATGTCGTAATTCCCCTGTAGATGATTTCTGCTAACTGCTAATTGATTCTAAACTAGTTTAATTGTGCTGGTTGGCTTATTGTTGTTTATTAACTTCAGTAATGTAGGACCCTGTTTTCGTACTTTTTGCGTCTGCTAGATAATTTATTTTTCACGGATAATTAAAAAGTTAACAAACCGACAAACAATTATTAGGAAGTGCTATTTTACTACTTATACGATAGTTTTTGTATATTGGTGCTGAATTGAAGGCGCACTTTTTCATACACAACGTCTCGCTCATCACGCGAGCTCCCTGTTCAATATACTCGCAAACTTATTCGCTCCTCTAATAAGATATTAAAATGATTAGAAATTTTTATAAACGTAGTTAATTTCTTGTTATTATGCGTGGTAAAGAATGTTATGCAACGTTTTGTGGTTTAGTCAAAGCTGTTGAGCTTTAACCACACAAATTTCTGTGTAGTTCGATAAATAAAAATACAAGATCATCACTGTACCATTACATTAATTGACTAGATAAACACTGTGTTTACTGCGAACTTGCAAACACAGAAATAGATATTACACAACAGTTTTTAACAAGTCAAATTACTAAGAAGGATCATCATTGTACATTATTTTAAGCGACAATATGTTTGACTAAAACAAATATATAAACGCAAATTCTACTATTTTTGTTTGTCGATTTTTTGTTAAAATAACAAGAAGAGGAGTCGAAATTTGTCTTATTCGATCGAGGCAGCGCCATCTATCATCACGTACGCCGCCTTTTCCTATTGTAATTTAACCAAGTAGGAATCCATCTTCTAAATTTTCCAGTTTCCACTAAATCTCACTAAATCTAGGGACTTTGTTGCTAGCACGCTGTCAAAACTCAAAATGTCAATCTATCAAATTGTTTGAATTTAAACATTTTCGTACAATTTTAGCCACTAGCAAAAATGTCTCTTTCGCAGAAACACTCCGGAAAAGTCCTAGTCCCCTGGTTCAACATGTAAGTCTTATGTCGGTCTCGTTCCACCCTAACCTCAAACTTTCAGCTCTGAATGGAAGCTCGTCTACAACTTGATTTACTCCGAGAACTCGCGCGACTGGCCCAAGGCGCTGCAAATTCTGAAAATCTGGAAGCACCGCACCCCTCTCCTGTCCGCAGGCGTCGAAGGGACCCTAATCGTCCTCGAGGCGCTTCTGGTAAACACCAGCCAGTTGTCCGCCTACGAAAGCAGCCACATTTTCTCGACGTCGCTGGTCCGATTCTTGAACTTGTGTGCTGCTAATAGCGAAAAGCAGGGCACGTTTTATAAGACGGCTATGCAGAATGAGCTTCCGAATTGGCTGGTGAGCATCCGGCATGATATTGCGCACAGTCATAAAGTGCCGTCGTTGTCTATGCTGGAGATGAGTTTGAAGTTTTGTTTGGAGTGGTTGAAAGAGAAGTATTGGGGTGTTCAGGGTGACAATATGGTGGATTTTGTGGTGGAGGAAGGAGACAGTGTTGTAGTGGAAGATTGTGTGTTTATACATAGTCATTTGAATGGGGGCGAAATTAACGAGAATAATCGCCGGTTGATGAAGAGGGTTAGTAAATTTGTGGGGGATAGGGGTGAAGTTAGTGACGTAATAGAGAGGGTGGATGAGGCACTACGAAATGAGTTTAAAGTTAATAGGGAGAAAAGTTCTGACAAAATTTGCAAATTGTTGATAGACAGCTTGAGGATATTGAATACTGAATGTGAAGAGGATGACTCAGGCAAGTTTTAAAGCAAGTTGGTGCTTAATTTTTCTGTGTTTTATTTTTTCAGGTTCTAAAAACATTCCAACGCAGTTTGTAAATAAGTGGACGAATTTATTAAACATTGTTCTTGAAGGAGAAATATTACCTAATTTTGTGACTAGTCTGTTTAAATTTACAGTTGATAGCACACATAGTTTTAGTCATAGAGAGGTCGCTAGTTTGTGGATAAAAGAAATTTTTAGTGGTCTTAAGACGCAGAATTCACAGAGTGGTTTATCATTTAGGACACAAAGTGATTGTATGAAAAGTAGGACTTTTGTTACGGAAGTTTTAGAGCATTTGTCTCCATTTACTCTTAATTTCCTGCAAGAGTAAGAGTACTCAAACAAAATATCAATTTTATTTATTTGTTTGTTTATTTCAGGGTGCTGGAGTATAATGAAGCTCCCACTAGTTTTATTGAAGATTCAGTGTGTTTGGTTTCAGCCTTTAACACATGTAGTAGATCGAGTGGTGACAAAATTTACACTATTGATGATTTAGGTATCATTGAAGAGAATTTAGGAGGTGATACAATGGAAATTCAACCTAGCATACAAACAAAGTCACGATGGGTATTAATTGAAGGTTTGTTGTATTATTTTCTTAATTCTGTCATAAATGAGTAAATTGTAGATACTTCGCCGTATATGAATCTGCCTTTAGGAATTTTACCTCATCAGGACCCAAATATAAATCCTCTACTTACCGTTTAACATAAAAAACATTTTTTTAAGTCAAAAATAAACTTTGTTACACGATAGGTGTATATTGAGTTGCATAACCACCAATTTTCAAAAAATAAGTTTTTATTTAAGGTATTGGAGCTGACTGTGCAATCAATTTTGCATGATACAGTGATAATATTTGTCGATATTTATATTTAAGCCAATTAATCAAATTTTGATTAACAATTTTAGACAAAATTGTATTTATTTTTGGTTGGTAGCAACTTTGACAGAGTGCGCCAACTTCAGGTAGTTCAGGCTGATTCGCTTTTTCAAAATGGTTTCTTTGGAACGTTTTATTGTGTTTTCGGTTGGATTTTTTCACAGGATATCGGTGTTCAGGTAGGATTTTAGTTAAAACCGCCTTTTGTAAAATTTGACCTAATCCTCTACTAAAAGTCTCCTCTTGATAGCTCGTCAATAGTTGAAACCTGCTGTGAAAAGTCCTTCGATGGTGGATTTTTTTGTCGTCCAACCAATGTACAACCATGCTTGTTGGGAAGTTCTTCTCGTTCCGTTTACTTCCGCCTCCGCCACTCCAATCCATAAGTGATTTAACGTCTTTGATATCGCCTGCTGCTCTTGTGCCTGACGTTTTCTTTGATGTGGGGGTTATTTTCATCACTTTGTTCCGACAGTTTGTGGGGAGCCTTCGTCAATCTCTGAATTCTTTTTGTTCATCTTCTTTATAGAACCATCTTCTTATTCTTCCATGGCGTTGGTTTTTGTGTTTTCATTGTCATTGACGACTTCCGCGCGCATTAGATCAATGTTACTTCGCATTATGTTCACCAATTTTTCGTAAATACAATTTTCCCTGTAGAGAGACGTGGCTGTGTGTAGTAAATCGACAATTCTTCTTGCTGCGTCCGTGTTTGGCACACATTTAACACAGGTCCAGAAAGCAAGTGTTTCGTCGGCGTTGGGGTTTCCAGCAGCAATCGCACATTTTGAATGGTACGCAGCACTGCATAGAACGCAAATTACACCATTCGCAACCTTTTTGTTGCATGTGATAGCAGCACATTTCGAATTTTCGTTGATTTTCACCGACAAAATCGGTGCGGCCGCCATTTTCTAATGTAACAATTGTGTGTATTACTGGTTGCCTATTCAGACGTGTATTATGAGTTGCATAAGTTCACGACATCAATTTAAGTTGGCTACACTGAATTTTTTAAATTCAGCACCAAATTTGATTGTTGTCCTTCGACTAGTTTAAGTCTTGCTTGATGTGCTGGTCATTAGTTTGGAATCCGCGATGTTTTCATCACCTCTGAGAGTCGCCGAAGTCAGTTTCAGCAATTCCAGCTAACATATCTCCTTCTCAGTATCATAGGAGTACTGTGAGAGGAGATGCTTGGCCAAGAGCGTGGGGTATTCGTTGGCGAAGAACTCCTTGCTACCGTAGACGTTGACGAACATGAAGACGATGTCAGAGGTGACCTGGTGGTGTCTTCCCGACTCCTCAAACATCAATGAATGGATTGGGAAGTAGTCTCTAAAAGCCAACCATAGGCATCTAGAATTCATCGTGGCAACATGGTCTGCTTAAAACGTCTGAAGTATTGATCCTTTGATAAAATAATCTCGTCTGCATCGTTTTAGTAAACTGAGGCTTCAAGTCAGTTTTTAGTACCTGAGATCCTCTAGAGCAGGAAGAGAGTCTTGATACTCTAGAAACCAAAAAAATCAAACCTTGTTGATATTAAAACCAGAGAAGCACCAGATATATACTAACATAAAAGCAAGAAAAGTTTGTTTTTATTCAAAAAGTACTGGCCACAAATCCTCACCACGATAGGTGGAATCAACCACAGAACAGTCAATTTAAGAAGCGCGGGGTCGATGTATTTGTTTGGCAATTTCATTGATATTTCTCGACCGCCTGATCGGTAAATTACTGGTTGCCTGTTGAGATGTGTATTATGAGTTGCATAAGTTCACAGCGTCAATTAAATGATAGAGTAACATTTGCCCGCATTCAAATGTAAGTTGGCAGCCCTGAATTTTTTAAATTCCGCACATTTGATTGGTCAATTTCGTGGGACCAAATTTAAAATACGGAAAAATCAGCCGCGATTGTCGCCAACCTAAATTTGGATACGGACAAAAAACACCATTTTTACTTGATTCGTAGCATTGAATTGAATAAGCGGCCATGTTAGTCATGCCATGGCCGACTAGTATAGCCCTCGTCCGTCAAGCTACTCACAACGCACCTGTTTGACATCTTACAATAATTATTCATTAATTAATTAATTACAACTAACGACCTGATGGTGTCTTTTCGACTTCTCAATTACCACTGCAATAATCTCGTGTCCATCGTCGTCCTCAACGTTTTAGTAAAATGTGGCTTTCAGTCAGTTCTTGATTGATACAATCTCAGATCCTCCAAGGCAGGAAGAAAGTCTGGATACTGTGGTGACCGAATTTAAATCAAACTTTTCGCGCTGAAATTAATTGACAACGGCGCGAAATCACATTTGAATAATTTTAATTTGAAAAAAAAAAGAGTTCAATCACAAAAAGGAAATCCTTAAACATAGGCAACCAAATATGCATGGATGGTCTAATGCACGTAGCGCTTAGGAGTTAGTGGCATGATCTTTGGGTTAGATGGCAGCACGTAGCGCTAGGGTAATTTCAGTTAGAGGGTTGGTAGAAAAGCGGCATGGCGGTAGAATGTGTCATTCTGGTGTGTTTCGTGTAAGTGTAACCACGTGGTAAGCGCTAGGTTTAAATTAGTTGGTTTGGTAGTTAATAAAACGGGAGGAAGCCTTTGTTTAACGACGATCAAACGTATTTTTCATAATGATACAGTTGTCCCCAACCCGCGCGTTAAATTCTTGCGCCCTTTTAATCGAAAATTGCAGACTTCCGGTCGGACGCGAACACGTGTTGTGAATCTGTTTCTTTGTTTGTAAATTCACCAATCAAGCTAGTTTTTCTTAATAGTCAGCTAGTGCAAACACAATTTAACAATCAGGATTATTTAAATTAACCATTTGCTAGAAGATTTCATGAAATTCACTTAGTCAGGAAAAACACCTTATGTTTAATTACGAATAGGTCTCTGGATGCATATACGTAAGTGTTACATTATAACACTTCTAAATTCTTCACACAAGATTGCTAATAGTTCATTTACGGCAGTTAAACAAGTTCATTATACTGCGGACTGGCGGGGGGTTATGATATTTTCTCCCCTTAGGTGGTTATCATCGTTATCACGATTAATTCATCGGGGCATGTTTCGCAACGCCAGATTGATTAATTAATTAAGGCATGCCCCCAACGCTACAGAAAATTCACGTTACCGAAACGCTTTTTCCTCGCAACGATTTGGGATTTACATCACCGAGACGCTTTTTCCCTCGGAGCGATGATTGGATATTTTTGTATTTGTTTATTATGTGTTTTGTTGGGGTAACCAGTTCGTAGTATTTTAACTTCTCAAAGTAAATTATTTTTGAAGTAACCAATCATTTAGATCATGATATAATTTGGCATAATGTAAACTCTTTGTTTGAACCGTTGATAAAGTGTGGCAAAAATTAATCTCATGTAAATTTTGTTAACTCTGCAAATTTTCACATCATACAATATTTCTTTAATCTCACAATTTTAACCTCAGTAATTTTATTTGTTGTATAAATTTAATTGAACGTAAATTTCATGTTCTACAGTTCTAACCTCCCATAACATTTCTATTTGTACAAGTTTATTTCACACCAGATCTTTCGTCTCATAAATCCTTGCTAAGTTTTGTTTTGTAAATACTTTGTTGATGAATGTTTTCTATCATATAAATTATTTGATGTCCAACTTTAATCCCACATAAGAATTATTTGTTGTTTAAGATTTCACAAGACTGTATGGCGAATTTAAATGTTGTTTATTGCTCTTTGAAACTTTAACACTTGTTCAGTTGTTGTTAACATCAGAGTTATAAGAGATTGATTGAATGTTTTAAAATGGAATTGAGGTTAAATGACACAGAAAACGTGGCAGAAGCGAGGTTTGGTTCCTAGTCGAGCTGGCGAGATTTATCGCGCCACCTGTACAAGTCCACAGGTTTGGATAGATTCAGGGGGCGGCCGCCGACGTTGTGAATTTCTCGATTTGGCCCAATAGTCGAGATCTTTGCGGGTTGGACGACCGTAATGGCCTAGTTCCGCAGGGCAAAGTTCGTCATGGGATATGCGTGTGGGGTAGGCTTTGCGATAAATAGAATCACCGTCGCGGGGGGAGAACAGTTCCAGACCGGTAGCTCAGACTCCGCTTATGCTACAACGCTCCAGGGGTACTTTTGTTGTGCTCCTATTAACTGCCGTAACTTAAAAAGGGAAAAGAGATCGGCCGCCACACGCCTGTAATAACTTGTGTACTTGCATCCAGTTACTTGATTCGGTTTTTGCTTTGTTTTATTAAACTTGTGATATTCCAATATTTGCATTGATTCCAAACAGATGTACAGAATTTCCGTTTGTTCGTTTTTCGTGTGTGTATGTCTGTCAATTCGCGAGTGTTTTTCTTTCTGTCGATTCGGGAGTGTTTTTCTTTCTGTCAATCCGCGAGTGTTTTCTTTCAAATATCTTAAGGTGTTTGAAATGTAATAAAATGTCGTCCGGGAATAAAACCAAGGGGGTTTTTGCGCTGAGGGGTAAATCTTCGCAGCGTATTTCCCCCTGTGAGGGTGGTGCCGTTTCTCCCCCTCCAAACCAATTTTTGTCTATTATTTCTTGCGCTCTCGACAGTGTATGCACTTGTATGAAAGAACGTCTTCCCGCCATTTTTCAAAAACAAAAAAAAAAAAAACACAACGTAGGTTCTTATTTGTTAGACGATCACAGCCAAGGCCAAACTTTGAATTTTTGAATTTTTCGCGGGCCTTTCAAACTGTTTCAAGGTCAAATTTTAAGGCGGGAAGTTTGGGTTATCACAATACGAATATAACGGGCAAAATTTTTAACGATATTAATTTTTTAAACCAAATTTGCTACATAGACATTACCCCTACAAATATT